TGTAGTATTGTTATTGTAGTGTGTGCGACCAGTGTAGTAGTATTGTTATTGTAGTGCGTGCGACCAGTGTTGTAGTATTGTTATTGTAGTGCGTGCGCCCAGTGTTGCAGTATTGTTATTGTAGTGCGTGCGACCAGTGTTGTAGTATTGTTATTGTAGTGCGTGCGCCCAGTGTTGCAGTATTGTTATTGTAGTGCGTGCGACCAGTGTAGCCGCCCAATAGTCCGGAAATTTCGTGACGTAATAATTAATATTCGTTTCCAAATGTGTAATCACTGACGAATTGGATCACATCTTGACATTCGTAAGAGGAATTCAGTTCCGCAGTTTCGTTTAGCTTCGGGTCAACAGTTTTGTGAAGATTTCACGTCTCTTCATTTTTGTTCCCACGTGGTGTTATAGTGAGTTGAAACTACGTGCAGTCATCGAACAAGTTTAACGTGGAATAAATTACAAACTGGCAGGCGATGTTCAATATGGACTCAATCGGTTATTTATTTTCTATAAATACAATTTCGTCGAGTTATTATGTACACTGCAAACAGTAATTCGAAAATAATTTGAACGAATGCGTAAGGATGCATACTAAATTTAAAAAAAAGATATTGTAACGTGTAGCTCCGGGTAACGTAGATGAAAGCTAGCAGTGAGCATAATGCAAATCGTTAGAAACTGGCACACCTTATACTGAGCGTTGACTCGGGAGCATTTACTGACACGTACGTACAGTCCTTTTAGTTCTCGCGTAATCATAAAAAAATCCACCGCTATCTTAAATCGTATTTCAATGGTTACGCAAATTCGGAGACCGTATCTCTGTTGGTTCGTACAATACGCGACTCAGCACCAAAAAGACTTCTTCCGAGTCACGAACAAAACGCCAAGCGAATAAGTCGCTCTCGCAACGTTGAATGTTTTCCCTTTGCAATTAATTCGAAATTGTTAAAATATTGCCAACGGTCAACCACCGTTTTTTTAGTCACCGATATGAAAGAAATTATTGTATCACCAAGATTACTACACAACATCGCGTAAACACTTGAGGCGCTGTGGTTCGTGCGCATGCGTACAACGCGTCACGCGCCGCACCTACGCTGCATACGAATTTAGCGCCACACTCTAAAACTAACAGACAATTAATCGAAGATTAATTGAGATTATTTACTGTACCTTGCCGATTTAGTCGTCCTGCCTTAGACGCAGGTTTCCTCCAACTACTGGATTGCATGCAAACGAAAAAATACGAAACAAACTAAGCAATCGCACGCACTAGACTGACACCTAAGGGGGGAAGGGAACCGTCTCTGAATTCTTTTTCTCGGATAGCGAGTGTGCACGAAGGCGGAGACACGAGGAACGAGTAACAAAGAGTCAGGTTTGATACTCACTATTACAGAGGGTAAGAGTAACGGGTATGGGGGGGGGGGGAGGGCATTAACCGCGGGCCGGTCTACCCGCTAGCGTCGGTCGGCTGAACGTCTGACGGACCTGGCATCCTGACGAGACGCGGCAGATTGGCCGACGTCGCCGGTTCGTCGGTTACGTCGGGCCCCTCGGTCGGCTGGACGGCGATACCTAGCCGTGGTCCGCCCTGCGCTCCCTGCGCCCCCTGTGGTCGCTCGATGAGGCGGGGAGGTCCGAGCTGGATCGGTTCGTTGGGAAATAGGTTGATGACTTGCACGTCCTCAGGCGCTCCGTCGTTTCCGACCTTGAACGTGCGCGCGAACCCACTCGAGAAGCTCTTAACTCTGGGCGCATCTTCCGCGGACTGCTGCTGCTGCTGCTGCTGCTGGATCTGCTGCTGTGGCTGCTGCTGCTGCTGTTGTTGTTGTTGCTGCTGCTGCTGCTGCTGTTGTTGTTGTTGTTGTTGTTGTTGTGGCTGTTGCTGCTGCCCGGTGCCCTGCTCCTGGCGCTTCTGCGCGTCCTTCGCTGCCTGCTCGGCGGCGATCTTCTCCGCTATCTCTCGCTGTCCCTGAAAGTCGAACGACGTCAGACCGCTGAGGCTGTTGGCGGAGAAACCAAGCAGCTGGAGACCTCCTGCGAACTGCAGAGCGGGGTCCTTCTGCAGCACGAGCCCGCTGCCGCCCTGATCCTGTCGGAAGGACAGAGGACGTCCGCGGTTCTGTCGGTTGAAACTGTTGAGTAGATTCGAGCTGGAGCTTGTCGACGGTCGCTGGAAGTTGCGCGTGAGTCCGCGCAGGCTGGCGGCGATTGCTGGTTGGCCGACCCTCGGTCGCTCTTGGAAGGTCTGCGCCGACTGTATGAGAGACTGCGATCCTTGCGGTCGCGACGGCTGCTGCACGCTACCGGTGCCGAACTGCTGCGTTTGTCGGAACTGCTGCGTTTGAGGTTGTGTTAAGCGCTGCTGCTGTTGGTTCTGTTGGACGAAGCCTTGCACCTGAGGAGATCCCGTTTGTCGGAATTGTATCGATTGAGGTTGTTGTTGTTGTTGGAAGATCTGTTGTCGTTGTTGGGGGAATTGTTGTTGTTGTGTTTGTTGCCGGAAGAACGGCTGTTGCTGGGTTTGTGGTTGAGTGAATTGCCGCGTTTGGGTTTGTTGCCGGAAGAATGGCTGCTGCTGGGTCTGTTGTTGGATGAATCGTTGTTGTGGCTGCGGTTGCTGTTGTTGCTGCTGTTGCTGCTGTTGCTGCTGTTGCTGCTGCTGTTGTCGTTGCTGCTGCTGTTGCCGTTGCTGCTGCTGCAGTAGCAGTTGCTGTTGTTGCTGCCGTTGCTGCTGTTGCTGCAGTTGCAGTTGCTGTTCTTGCTGCCGTTGCTGCTGTTGCTGCAGTAGCAGTTGCTGTTGTTGCTGTTGTTGCTGTCGTTGCTGTTGTTGTTGCTGTTGCTGCTGTTGCAGCTGTACGTTTAGTGGATCCGGTACGGTGGCTGTCGGCTGCGGCTGTGGCTGCGGCTGCTGCTGCTGCTGCTGCTGGCGGAAGGATTCAGGTCTGATGAGCGTCTGCACCGATTGCAGCTGCTCCTGCTGCCCTCTCTGTGGCGAGACGGCCTGCGATAGGGTTCCCTGAATATCAAACGGATTAAGACGTGAGAACTGCTCAGCTGTCTGCACGTTGTCGCTGTTGGTCTGAGGTTGAATCGCTGGCTGAAAACGGCGCAGAGGCTTCAGCTGTGGCACAGATGGCAGCACCTGCAAGGTGCAACATTAAAATCAAGTGTAACAAGTGGCTGTATCGTGTTTCCTCGTCGAAGACATGTTCAATTCTATTGTTAAATAGCATACAATGAATAACAAGAGATAAGATATATATGTGCTGTACGAACACGCTGGATAACTGCGATTTCGAGCGTTGATATTCCATATCAATGATATTCAACTTGATATTCAATCGTTGTCGTTAATTAAATACAATCTGTCAATTTGTTTAAATCGTCAATTAAAACAGCATTTTGATTGATTTTTGCCACGCACACACGCATGCACACACACATCCACGATATAATATTATTTACCATAATTAAATTTAGTTACAGATGACGATGAAAAACTACTCTATCCGGAAAATGTGGCTACTTGACTACACCACCGTGCTTCCGATGATGCTAATACGACACCTGATCATCGTGTTATAATTAGTCACATTTACTGAAAGCGTAGAGAACTGCTAACGACCATGCACAGTACCCGCACCGCCATTGCAATATAACGAGCCTATCGATAAATTCATGGTGATATATTATAATAATGAAGCGTTTTGTCATCGTATCTCGTCCGTCGTCCATCAACTTTCGATTTCCAAGGTTGTCGTTTCTAGACTGTCACCACCAGCGGCGTCCCTGCAACACGTTAGCAGATACGCACACAGAGACTAGATTTACTAGTCGCAACCAACTGCAACTGTTGAGAAATCTATGGAGAAAGAAGCAAAAAATGAAGATTTCTTTCGCCATTGTCTGTCGTAGCTATATTGCAACAAAGGTGAACATCTGTAAATCCTACGAATTACGATTAGGAGAAAATGTTGAAGAAAGTAAAGGAAGACATGCTACAGAGGAAGGAAGACGTATTCTATAGAAATAGAACAAACGTGAAACTGATGATGACGCTTTAGCCGTTTAGAAGATTGTTTGAATGACGTCAATGAATGACGATGACGTTTTAGCAGCCGGTTAGAATGATGTTTAAATGACGTCAATGATCGATGACGATGCGACTGATGATGACTTATCAGTGACGTATTACCGACTGCAATGTCCGCGCGGGCAAAGTCGACTGAGCGGTGCCGACAACCACCTGTTGCTGCTGCGTGACCCGCTCAGCGCGGAACGGGAAGCTAGGCACAGTGAATCCGCGGTTCTGCTGTTGCTGCTGCTGCTGCTGCACGTCCCGTATCGTGAGGAAATTGCGCCGCGGCTGCGTCCGCTGTTGTACGAAAATGGGTCTGGTAATGAGAGGCTGATTGGCGTTGGGCTGGCGCTGGAATTGCGTCAGAGTTGGGGGCGGTACCTGCAAGGTGGGCGACGCCAAACCGAGGAACGTGTCGGGGAATCTAATACTGCTGCTTGCCTGTTGTTGTTGTTGCTGGTTGAATCCGCCGAATTGGTTCCTCCCCGGCTGCACAAACTGCTGGCTTCCCTGCTGCGGGAAGAACTGCTGGCCTCCCTGCTGCTGCAAGAACTGCTGGCCTCCCTGCCGCTGCGAGAACTGCTGGCCCCCCTGCTGGAAGGTTTGCTGACGTGGCAGTCCGAACGTGTTGAACCCGCTCGGCTGACCTCGGCTGACGAAGTCCGTGTTACCGACTCTGAAGCTACTGGGATTGATCACGCCTTGCTGCTGCTCCAGCTGAGAAGTGAACGGGAACAGCCGATTCGTACGGCCGTCGTTCAGCGAGGTGAACTGCTGCTGAGGCTGCTGCTGCTGCTGCTGCTGCCCGGGGAAGAAGCTGCTGCCTTGCAATTGCTGCAGGCCGTTACCGGCGTTGAATCCCTGTTGGAAGTTTCGTCCGCCGGTGAATCCCTGCTGCTGCTGTCGGAAACGTCCCTGACCCCAGGCGCTGCTGACGAACGCCGCCTGCGATGGATAACGAACAAGATGACAAACGTGCGGTCGCAGAAGAACGAGCTTAATTATTCATTATTAATTATTATAATTAATATTTAATAATAATAATAATTAATAAAAATAATTATATAATAATAATAATAATAAATTATTATAGGTTCTTGCAGCCATTATCAGAAACATCGTGAATAGATTTATATATATATATATATATATATATATACAGTATATATATGAAATGTAAATAGCTGACATGAATTGAAGGTAAGTATAGGTGATGCATGTTGCAGGGAAGGGATGATTCGTTATGCAAACGTTATGACATGTTTGGATGTGTGATAGTCATGTAACTGTTTACGGATATTTCTGGAACCCCCCTACCCAAACTCGGACAGTTATATTAGTCTCGAAGCTAAATCTTTAATGGAATTGATGATTTGTTTTCCAGGTATACGAACTAATCAACTTAAACACTTCCTATGCAATTTATTAACCATAAAAACATGGAAACGTTTTATGCAGTAATTTTTCCGTTTAAGAATAAAAACCGACTGACGAAAAAAAGATCGAAACGGTTACATTAAAAATTAAAAACTTAAATATTATATTATTACTTTATTAATTCTTAATGATCCATCATTAATCAGGATACTAATGAGGCAGATACGGCGGATACGAATACTGCCACGAGTCGTCAGCGCGTATCGCCGAGCGTCGGAGCAAAGCGAGGAGAAAAGCGATGAGCGGGTTGATAGATAGCAGTGGCCGCGGTCTGACGAATGAATCGAACTGCCTGTCTGACTCAAGCGACGAGCCATAACTCTGTCCGTATCGCTGTAATTTCGCGATTCGCGAGTCCTTCGAGCTATAATCAACGCAGCGTTCACGTCCACGACTAACGAATTTGCTCGCGTAATGCATGGAATCAAAAACGCGTCGTCACAGACGCCGACTCCGTTCGGCGAGCAAGGTCGTGTCACACTTGTCGTCACCTTTTTCCCGATGTAAGCCACGGACACCGTGCACGCGAAATGCATCATCGCGACGGACAAGATGACGTCATTAACATTTTGCCGCGACGAGAGCAGCTTTGTGCGAATTCAATAGCGAAACGTCGAAAAGTCGAAATGCTGCAGGTGCGCACGCAGACACGTGCAATTTTCACCAACAATTGCATGGCCTTGGGAGGTCTGAATTGCCCGATTGCATATAAGCCGTTCCTGATAATTTACCGCGAAACTGATGACGCTAAAGTTAAGTATATGGACTGACTCCGCGATTCGTTTAGATTCAACCTTCGTTGAGAATAAACTGCGGTTTGGCTCAGCTACGGGAGGACGTTGGAATCAGTCTAAGTTAACTGTGCGCAATTTAGGATACCCGTCTTACGCCTTTCGGCCACAAGTCATTGTTTCATAGTTGCCTGCTGTGCTGTACAGAAATGCCTACAGATTTTCGTTCCTGTCTTTTCCCGCTTAGACTCATTTTATTTTATTACAAAGAACGTCTAACGACTTCTAAAATAAAGACGTTTAAAAAAACTCGTTGTAATGGCAGTATCGCGTTCTGCGCATGCATGCTGCATTTTATAACGTGACGGGAACCTAAGCAAGAGAGAGAGAGAGAGAGAGGGGGGAAGAGAGATACGAAAGAGAGAGAGAGAGAGAGATAGAGAGACAAAGAAAGAGAGACATGGAAAGAAATAGACAGAGATAGAAAAAGAAAGAGAGAGAGAGACAAAGAAAGAGAGAAAGAAAGAGAAAGGAAAGACATAAAGAAAGAAATACAAAAGGAAAGAAAGAATGAAATATAGCGAAACGAAAGAGAGCAAAGAGAGAGAGGCCGAGAAAGAGAGAGAGAGAGAGAGAGAGAGAGAGAGCAGAGAGAGAAGAGAGAGAGAGAGAGAGCGCGCGGCGGAGGAGAGAGAGAGAGTGAGAGAGAGAGAGAGAGTGAGAGAGAGAGAGAGAGAGAGAGAGAAAGAGAGAGAGAAGCGCGCGCGAGAAAGAGAGAGCGAGACGGAGAGAGAGAAAGAGCGAAAAGAGAGAGAGAGAGAGAGAGAGAGAGAGAGCAGAGAGAGAAAGCGAAGAGAGAGAGAGAGAGAGAGAGAGAAAGCGAAGAGAAGAGAGAGAGAGAGAGAGAGAGAGCGAGAGAGAAAGCGAAGAGAGAGAGGAGAGAGAAAATGGGAAGGAACAGGGGAGAGAGACAGACAGTGAAAAAGAGGGCGAGAGGAACGGGTGGATAGAGTTAGAGTTATAGAAAGAAAGAAAGAGAGAGAGAGAGAGAGAGAGAGAGAGAGAGAGAGAGAAAGAGGGATAGACGAGAAAGAAAGAAAGAAAGAAAGAGACAGACAGACAGCGAGCGAAAGAGAAAGAGAGAGAGAGAGAGAGAGAGAGAGAGAGAGAGAGAGAGGAAGAGATAGAGACAGACAGACAGCGAGAGGAAGAGAGAAAGAGAGTGAGAGAGAGAAAGAGAGAGAGTGGAGAGAGAGAGAGAGAGTGAGAAGAGAGAGAGAGAGAGAGAGTGAGAGAAAGCAGAGAGAGAGAGGAAGAGAGGAGAGAGAGCAGAAGGCGAGAGCAGAAAGCGAGAGGAGAGAGAGAGTAAAATGGAAGGAACAGGGGAGAGAGACACAGCGTGAAAAAGGGCGAGAGGAGACGTGGATAGAGTATCGAGTTATTAGCAAAGAAAGAAAAAGAGAGAGGAGAGAGGAGAGCAGCAGATGAGAGAGAAAGAGAGTAGACGAGAAAGAAAGAAAGAAAGAAAAGAGCACAGACCAGACAGCGAGCGAAAGAGAAAGAAGAGAGAGAGAGAGAGAGAGAGAAGAGGAGAGCGAGAAGAGATAGAGACAGCAAGACAGCGAGAGGAAGAGAAGAAAGAGAGTGAGAGAGAGAAAGAGAGAGTAGAGAGAGAGAGAGAGAGTGAGAGAGAGACGAGAGAGAGAGAGAGTGAGAGAAAGAGAGAGAGAGAGAAGAGAGAGAGAGAGAGAGAGAGAGAGAACGACAAAAAAAGAAAGGGAATTTTTTTAGGATCTCTTTAGAATCAGCGGCAATCATTTGCTGATTTAATCAGCGCCTGCCGCAGCGTCAGCGCCTGCCGCAGCGTCAGCGCCTGCCGCAGCGTCAGCGCCTGCCGCAGCGTCAGCGCCTACATCCTTCGTATCTCTATTATCAACGCACACGGCGTCGTGCGAACAGCCTCCTTGATTAATCACAATGTTTTTACGCTAAACAAATTACACCTCCTACGGCTCTGTACCCCCTTGAGTTCCGGCACTTGTGTTCCGTCCGCGGCACGCGCGTAAGTACGTCACCAGATACCGCCTTTTATTCACGCAGGATTTGACGTACGCAACAACCTTGATATTATAATTCCGCGCCAAAAGCATTTGTTTCGAACACCGCGCAAGAAAAGCCCGATAGCGGTCTGCGCGATGTTTATTAGCGGAAATTTGTCACGCAACGTGTTGGGAAGCTATAGTATACCCTATACAATAACGCGCACACCTACAATATCGCGCACACACGCGCACACACGCGCGTGTATGCACTCGAGGTGCCGAACGTTTTATCTTTGCGTCAGCTTAGGCGATGTATAACGCACTCGAAGAACGACTGCACGAAGTGCTTAGTTAGATGATAGCCAGAGTACGTGGCAGAGCGTGCTCGATCATCAAGTGTTGTTCAATGGCGGCCTCTCTATCCACGCAGACGCACGCGCGCACGCACGCGCCTACACGCGCGCGTGTACGAACGGGTATCGTTAATTGATTTGTCCTTGCTCGCTTGACGAAACGTAGAATAATGCAAAGACGATTAACCCAGTTTACCTACACGGTCGCTCTTTACTAATAAGCGTACAGAAAATCATGATCATCAATCCCCAGGTCCGATTTCAATTATTCCAACCGCCTCCGCCACGATGTTTCTGTCTATTACGAACGCATGACATTGATTCGAGCTCAATTGCCAAAAAAGCGGTCATCGTGTGATTTATGACAATAGGCGGGAAGAGAATGCTACCACATAGCGACCAGGCGCCATGACAGTCCGCCTAACAACGGCAGACGAGCGCGCGGCAATCCCGCTTCCCCCATCGGGTTACCGAAGCGCGGGAGTTTCCTTTCCACGATCCGTTCAAGTTTGTTTGTGAGTCTTCTCCGCCCCCTCCAAAAAAAGAGCAAAACTGTTCGGCGATGAGCTGAACATTATACATCAATCATGCATATCGTATATCCAGCAGACACGGCCGGATGATAATTATAAAGAACGCATACTTTGTCCTCATTTTACTCTGATTTCGGGGGATTAACAATGGAATGCACGATTATTGCGTGATAACTCAGATAGTTATGGAAATCGACATCACTAACCTTGAGACGTGCATGCTCAATAAATGGCGGTCACGTACAGAGTTTCTATCGCATCGGACAGAAAAGGTATTCAGCTATCAATCTATAGCTAGCCGCGCTCTCATAGTTTATATATATATATATCAAGAGTATATAATAGAGATGACATCTCTATTATGTACTCTTGATATATATATATATATATACCGCACCGACGAATCATTAATATCTATTCATAGCACAATAGTAGGCACACGCCTACTGTAAAAAAAAGAAAAGAAAACGGGTCAATGACCTTTATTTAATACAAGACATGGCAGACTTGCGGGAGCGATTGTCTTCTCTCGACGAGAGAGCGCGTGACAAAGCTCGCAAGCGTCTGCTCTTCGGCTTGGCAGCGGATAAACAAAACTAGAGAGTCTGTGGTAAACGCACTTTTCCCTCTGCACTGCCAAGTTGCCAACGATATTTAATTTTATGATTATAAACCTCTCATGTAACCACGGGCAAAGAGAGTGGTTACTGTTTCGGCATTGACACTATGAGCTGTAACCTATGATATATATATTATATATAATATATATATATATATATATATAATATATACTATATAATATAGATAGAGAGAGAGATGAGAAGAGAGAGCAGAGAAGAGAGAGAGAAGAGAGAGAGAGAGAAGAGAGAGAGAGAGAAAGAGAGAGAGAGGAGAGAGTAGAGCGAGGGAGATTGCTGTATATAAATGTTTGTAATCTTATGCGGTACGAATACGTCGCTATTAGTTATGCTAGTATATTTAATTAAGCGTAATGAGATCAGACGCCCACTCGCACGCCACAGTGTATTTCTTCCGCCATTCCGAAAGAATTGCAATCGGGCTATTTGCACGTACGCCCACGATGTGTACCCCAATAATGTGGTTTTGTTACGGAACCGCTGACACGAGATAGGTATCGCTAACAGCCGGGAAAGTATGAAGAATCATCTGCTGGTGTAATTAGGTCGGTCGTCAGTAACGCAAGAGTCTGTGTTTCGCTTTTGGATCGAGAGAAATATATAGGCGGCGCTTGTGCCATCGCGAAATATTCTCAGCTAACAAGTTTGAGCTGAATGCAAGAGAATGCGAAAAATTGAGTTGTACTCATGCACACGCCAGAGTCAGTAGGGCACGCGCGACCGGCCTGCATTAATACCCTATGTATAGATCTTAAGCTTGGCAAATAATTTTACTCTAGCCCTTAGTGACTACTACTAACAATACGACAACGTGTTGTAGTGCATTATTGTTCATGCCATGTTCTTTTTAATACTAGTTGTATCACGCATGCTAGTATCTAAACAACGCTAGTCGATTTGACGATGTATTGCGACGGGTTTTATTGAGAAATATGATATATATATTGATATAAAACATATAGCATCAAGACCAGATAAACTAGACTTAACTAAGTTTATGTGCTGTTGATTGTACGAGATATAAGATTACCAGTAACGTTTCAACGGAAAGTGTATATTGTCTGTTAATTACTCCCACTTATTTATACGATCTACGAACATCGCTACGAATATCTCAAATAAAATATAAACTTACCAGGGCCATTGTCAATAGTAAAGTGTTCATGCCGATCCTGTGCGGTACTGGTTTCCGTGCAGGTACAGCTGAAATATCCAAAAGCAAATTCCGTCTTACGCACCAGATACTGCCTATATTACTGGCAACCCTTACTGAGAATCTCGAGAACCAAGTCTGTATATGCGTTACTAGAGAACCGACTGTTTACTTCCGAGTACGTCACAGCGGCGCATGTAACCACCGCATACGTGCTCGATTGAATGGCAAGTAACTAGTCCGTTCTACATCAGAGAATATAAAGCCTCCCCCCCAATACCCCTCGGCCGTCTCTGTCTTTGTGCGTGTCAAACAGAAGAAAGACGGTCGGAGGTCAAGCAAGCGCAACGCATCATGCACGCTCGCGCGCGCGAGCCCACGAATGTGGGTCAGTAAACTATACGGCGAGATCTGCACGTGAATTTAACTTCCACGTCGAGGAGACGCCGATATCGACACGCCGCCGCCGATGCCGCGGCCGACGACGACGACGTCGGTTCACTTGTCGCAGCTGATAAATGGTTGACATGTCGATGAAAGGCAGCATAAAACCCCCGCTTCTACGGTTTCACGATGGGCGGCCGTTAAACGACTTAAAAATGCAAACGACTTTATCGATTTCACTCGGATTCTATAGACTTTTTCATTGTCTTCTATAGCCGCGTTCCAGTTCAACCAAGCTCTTTCCGCAATGGTGGTTGAGATCGAAGAAAGAGTCGTTCCAAATTCTAGCGTGGTAATCGGACAGCGGTGACAACAACGACCAAAAACTGACCTGCGAATAATGCAGCATCGCGGTTGCAAAACGGCTGCCATCGGTTAAAAATTACCTCTATAGACTTTTCTCGAACTCTTGACCGAGTCTTCGAATTATTTGCGGCGTGACGTTTTCGTTCACCCAATTAAACATTATTTTTAATGAATCGTCATCAAATCGTGCTGGTGCCTGCATGAACGGTTTTAATATTGGCATGATACAGTCTGAGCATTCCGGTATTTTAACACTTTCATTATCGTCATAAACGATCTTAATACGTTAGCCAATGCGCTTAATAATATTTGATTAATAATATTAGCAATACGTATAAATTAAGCCTAAATTCATTCCACCAAAAACGCAGTGAAATGTCCAAACGAAACAAGGAACCGTCCTTAATGTCAACCCGAGTATATATATATATATATATATATATATACTACA